AAAGACAGCAGTAAGGAGGAGCCAAGGAGTAGCAGTTGAAAGGCTGCAGACAGATTCAGGAGCCTAGAGAAGGGGGCAAAGGAGGTGAGGGGGTGGGGGCAAAAAGTGGAAACGAAAGCAGACAACAGAACATTGATAGAGAGCAGGAAAGGAGGTGAAAGGAGACAATTTTAGAGAAGAAAATGTTTCGGTCGCTACCCGGATTCGAACCCGGGACCTTTGAATGAGAGGCTAACACCTTAACTTCTAGGCCACGAGAGCCCCTTTTTCGATTGTTCAGACCTATGTAATTATTAGTGTTAAAATCGGATAGTGGTGCTATATTTACCGCCGTACAGTTAGGCCGAGAGCAGAATCATAAAATCATCTAGAAAGAGTTAGTTTTAGTTTAGTAGAGGTTTTACAGCGCTCGCAACTGCATAAGGTCATATGGGCGCCAAGGGGTGGATGTCAACAAAGAAGTCCTTACAGGGAATCAGACTTACTCTGCTCACCTCTCTAGCTTTAACTGCACAAAGTCTGCTTCGAAATAGCGGGTCACAAGAGTGTGACAAACATACAAAAGAAGTAGATGAGGAATGGCGACAGTAAGGATTAGGAAAGAAAAAGCAGCAGTGCTCTGTTGCAGTTCAGGCACGGTTATGAGCATGGCATTGATGAATCAGTCCATTTACAATTACAATTCTACTGCATAAGAACTCGAGATGTTAATGTCCCCCCTTTGGCAGTGGCCTAAAGACACTTCAGTCAGTAACACCGTCCCGGGGGTGCGTTTGGGGTTTATTTCGCGGAATTGGGGGGTCTAGGAAGAGTGAGCAAGCACGTGGGTGGTTGGCGAGTGCTGTGGTTTGGTTTGCTCCTTCCTTTCTATGAAACATCTATCGTCCTTATCTCTCGGCCTCTCTCATTTCTTTGTACGTTACTCTCTAGTAACACATCTAATCTTCGGCACTTATGTGACCCGATTGTGTTGCAAGTGCTGTAAAACTCTTTATAGAACAAAACAAAACAAAACAAGCGAAAGTAAAGTTCCTGCTCGTCTTGTACAGAGTCAGGCTTTCTGAGTGTGTATGTGGGACACCTGAAGAGACATAAGTGAGGCAGCGTGGTGGAATCAGGATCTCGTCAAAATAATGAAATCGAGGAAAACAGCAGTTTTCTCCCTGCTTAGCAATTTTTATAATTTTTTTGTTTTTTTGGCTCAACACCTTTTATGTCAATTTACAAACACATTCCTTTGAGGATTTCACCGAAAACGTTGATTAAAGGCTCAAAAATATAAATTTAGTCTCCATGGACTCTCCAGCTTTGGAATTTACCAAGCTTTGGCGGCCATTTTCTCGCTAATGTTTCCTCTTAAATCAGGTGATCCCCACCTCCTTCAATCCAAAATATCTTCACTTCTATTGAAGATGGAAGGGTAATTTTTTCATTGAAAGCAAGACAAATAAACAAGCTTTAAGATGATACCAATAACTCAATATGTCCAAAAATTGACGAGAGCCTGATTCCACCACGCTGCCTCACAAGGGTCTTGAAAATCTAGCTCTCACTTGCAAAATTGAAGGCAAGCGAGGCAGGGGTAGGCCCAGAACAACCTATTTGGGAAACCTGAACTAGTGGGTGACAGGGAAAGATCAGGCTAGGGAAACGTGGCTTTTTTTTAAAGAGCATCCGAGCAAAGGAATGAATGGAGAGCCATAATCGCCGATGTCTGTCGCAGATCTGGTACTGGATGATGATGTCGGCAAGGCCCACCGTGAGGAATATTATAAGGCTTGCTTGCAGGGCCTAGCTTTTCGTGTGGTAAACCCGTTTTGCTTATGTCATCGGCTTTAATTGTTGCTCCAAAAAAAAAGCCCGAAACTGTAGAATTATAATTTTCATTCCATATACTTATATGAGGGGAAAAATATACTTCAGACTTCAGATCAATGTGTTCCTTGGATGTTCTTCTTTTTTAAAATATAATAATAATAATAATAATTGCATTTATATAGCGCATATCCATGCTCAAGAGCATGCTCTATGCGCTTCACAACCATCATTACCCCAGCAGACCCTCTGAAAACACTCAGAAACATTCTGGGCTTTCGCGGAAGCATACAATGCAAGCTGCGGATTTCACGCGCTCAAACACTATCAAACTGACAAGATCGTTCACTGCCTATAGCCGGGTACCCATTTCCACCTGGGTGAAGTGAGGAAAATTTGTTCAAAGTGCCTTTCCCAAGGACACAACGTCGGGCCCCTGACGGGATTCGAACCCACGACCTTACGGTTGCGAGTCCGAGAGCCTAACCACTAGGCCACCGACGCCACATGGGGTGTTTTGTTTGGGGGGGGGGGTTGGTTGTTTTGTTGTTGTTGTTTTTTTGCTTTGTGTCTCGTCCAGCATGCCACCGTTTTGGCACCGATTATGTGTGAATTTATAAGTTACGTATACCTATTTCAGTATGACAGTTGCGATGATGATGATGATGATGATGATGATGATGATGATGATGATGATGATGATGATATGGTGGTGGTGGTGGTGGTGGTTGTGGTTGTGGTTGTGGTGGTGATTTGATGATGATGGTGTCCTTAACATGTGAAAAAAGTATGCCGAAATATTACCTATGGGTCGCTTCTAAGAAATGACTTTGATAGAGTTTGTTACCCAACTTCAAAGCTTTCAAAACTCCCAAACTATGAGAAATAAAGTGGCAAGTAACCTCTTAAGTATTTCATATGTTCAAATCAACTGCGTTCAGAAAAAAACAGTTATTCCTCTAAACATGTGTGCTTACAAGTTATTACTGCCTTCAGTTCGTCATAGATCTTTGGGCTCTTCTACGACGGTCAGAACATTTTTTTAAATCCTGAGAGGAAAAAAAAACATGCCTTATCGAAGAAAGATATAAAAAGACACCTTTTCTTGAAACAACAGCAGCAAATTCATCAACGATATTATACCATAATCAATGATATTATACCATTTATACGTGTGCATTGTGAAGCAGTGGAGGACCAGTAACAGAACTGCGTCTTGCGACAGCTTATAAATTTAAAAAATAAAAGTTGTTCCCCATCCGATCCGGACACTGGAGATTGCCTTGTTAGTGAGACAACTTCCTGGGCATATATTATTGTGGTAGGGTGGCCAGTTCCTTTCCACGCCGCCTTTACTTTTACTTCCCCAACTCGCAGTCAGGTAGTCATTACTGCTGGGTGGGTAGAAAGGGGCGAGAAAAAAAATCTGTGTTCGAACCAAGGCTCGAACCAGGACTTTCCGCTTCGGAGACGGGCGCACTAATCGCTCCGCCACCGCACCCTCGAGCTCATACAGAACGTGCGTTAAAAGCCCTCATCCTTCTATAAAATTCTAGCCCAATACATCTTAGACGCTAGGTGAAAAGGGAAGTTAAAACAGCGGTAATTGCTTAAAACATTATATCAGCCTTTATTGTTCTTATTCTGCCCGATATGATACATGTAAAACCCTGTGCACTCTGCAAAAACGGAGTCATCTATTTGAGTCGGAGTCAGCTAGACTTTCCTACTTGGATGGGGCAAAAGCTAGTATCTTGGTACAATACAACCAATTCAACGCACGACCTTGAAAAAACAAACGAGTTTGATTCTTGAAGGCCACAGTCAAATTTGGTCAAATTACGTTAAAATTGTCCCAAAATGACAGCTTTCGCGCTTTACGTGAAATTAAAAATCTCTCGGTATAATACACGCCAGCGCGACTGGCATCATATATTCTGACAAGGACCTTCTCTAGTGCTGAAAGCAAAACAAAAATGTGTGTGTGTGTGTGTATGTGTGTTTGTGTGTGTGTGTGTGTGTGTGTGTGTGTGTGT